CTTTTTTTTTTTTTTTTTTTTCTTTTTTTTTTTTTTTGGAGAGATTTTCACTGTAGGGCGCGTGCGCTCGCCAGACAGACAGAGAGAGACATAGAGACAGAAAGCGAGAAATCACCCCCCAGGGGGGATGGTCACGCCGCAATCCCTTCTCCTCCATTCTCCTCTCGGGATCTTGGGCACGCACGCACACGCGCCCGGCGTGAGTTTTAAGCCACCGGGTCCGGGACGCGAACCGCGGTCGACTACGTGGGAGTCCAGCGACATAGCCATTACGCTAACTGCTGGTTCCCGAGCTCTCTGTTCTTTTAAAGAAAATCAAGTTCTTCCAGAGTGCTCTACTCACTGTTTTTATTGCACGGACAGCCCTTCAGAGGGGCACTTCCTTTTTTCTCCATTTGTCACGATCCTCCTGTCCCAGCCTTTTCTGGTCACTGGGCTCGCTGACAGGCATGCCAACACACTAGCCTGCAGTTGGACCTGGAATCAAACCCATGCCTCCCGTGTGGTCCCGCCTCAGAGCCCAGCATCCTGGGAGTGTGTGCTCCTGCAGCGGGGCCCACAGCACACTCTCCAGCTGTGCACACGAACTACGCGGGTCTTACTGCACTGCATGTCTGACCCTCTAGGGCCTGCAACTACATTTCCACAGCCCTGGGCGTCACTCCTGCAGCCGGCACAGAAATCCGTCCAGGAGCAAGGGCGTCGGCTTCACAAGGCCCTCTCGTATCTCTCCTCATTTCTTTAACTGACAAATAAGAGTTGCATGTACTTACCACGTACAGCAAGCTTTGGAAATACGTGTACATTGGGAGACGGCCAAGTCGCCCTGACTAACAGATGCAGCCCTTCCATGCACGCTTAAAATCGCCTCTCTTAGCAAGTTCAAGGACACAGCGCGTTCTTGTCAGCTGTGGTCAACGTGGCCAGTCACCTTCTCCAACCTCTCCTTCCTAACTGAAGCCGGGTGTCCTCTGACCAGCATCTCCCCAGCTCCTACCCTGACCCCTGGGAACCAGCGCTCACTCTACTCTTGCTTTTGTGAGTGCAGCGTTTCAGATTCCACGTATCAGTGAGGTCCTGCGGCCGTTGCTGTCTGCGCCTGGCTTATTTTACTTTAGCATAATGTCCTCCAGGTTACAGGTGTTGTCGAAATGATGGGATGTTCTTCTTCCTAAAGGCTGGATAATACTCCATCACACGCACACACGCACGCGTGCACACACACACCCCAGCCACATTTTCTTCATCCATTCTTTTGGTGACACTCTGGTGCCCGCATCTTGCCTATTGAGAATAATGCTACAATGAACGTGGGATTGGAGACCCTCTGACATAACTGATCTCGTTGCCTGTAGATATATACCAAGAGTGAGAGTGTGGATCAAACGGCAGCTCTGGTTTCATCTTTTGAGGAACCTGCCTGCCGTTTTCCATAATGGCCGTACTCGCGTACACTCCTACCAGCAGCGCGGGCTTCCCTTCTCTTCCACGTCCTCGCTCACACTTGCCGTCTTTCATCTTTTTTGATAGGACTCATCCTCACAGGTATCTCTCACTTCATTTGATCCTCTCAAAAACCCTCAAGCAGAAAAAGCCACTCAGACTATCCCATTTCACAGCTGCGGCTCAAAAAGCAACTTAAACCGCCCGAGGTTGCAGAGTCCTGCGCCTACCCAGGCTGGGTTTTGCATGGTATTGCCAAGGTTTGGGGTGGAGCTGAGAAAGGGCTTTCTCCACGCAGGTGTGAGTTCTCCTGGAAGTACAGCCGGGCAGACAGGGTCGCTTTATTGGAAACCCGCTGGTTGGGGGTGGATTACTCAAGATGTATTAAGGTTAGATTTCTTGACATGGTAGCTCAAATTTGATCCTGGAGACTTCAAAGCCTCTTTTCTTTCAAACCACAGGAGTGGTTCTTGTTTCAACAAGCCAAACAATACAAAGATATTCAAAGAAAAGGTCAACTACTGTCTCCCCTTCCCTCCTAAACCCTGCCCCATCAAGGCAGCCAGAGTCGACAGCTTCAGGCATGGCCGTCCTCTTATTTCCAGATTTGAGCAGGCGTGCACAAACATGCGTGTTCAGAAATAGCAGGAAGTCTGGTTTTATTGTTTTTTGTTTTTGTTTTTGTTTCTTAAACAAAAGTAAGATCACACCATACCATTACTTGGCAAATTGCTTTTTCTTTTAACGACGTGCCGTGGACGGGCTTCCAGTCAATACATACGGATCCAGGAAGTCTCTGTAGTCACGGCAGAGCGGCCATCGCGCAGAGGTGCCGTGATCCAGCCAACAATCGGCTCGGGGGGACACGGTCGTGTGTCTACAGCGGGAACCTCTCCCTGGAGGCTCCTCCACAGGAGCACACCCAGCCATCTGGACCATCTGGACCCAAGTGGCAGTGGGGGCGCAGGCAGGGCACCTGTGATGTGGCCAGAATGCTGTGGGTGGAGCTGGGTTCAGGCCCACTGTGATTCAGCCACTTCCCTGGCAGGGCAGGGCAGGGCAGGGCAGGGCAGGGCGCTGGCATCTGTGGATTCAGTCCCTGGGCACAAAGGGACTCGGCTGAGCTCCTCCCTCTCCTCATTCTCATGTGGCCCCCCACCTCAGTTTATGGAGACCATGGACCCTGATTTACCCTAAATCTGGGGGGACACCTGGAAGGTTGTTATGCTCTTCTGAGGTGCCTCCACTGCAGCTTCTCAGAGGCTTCAAAGGCTGCCTGCTTCCTCCAGGCAGCCCTGGGGTTTACGTCCAGTGCTTACTGTGGGTCACTGTCCTCTTCTAGGGGGCCGAGGTGTCAGCGTGGGCCCCATCCTCAGCAGCAGTGCCTCTGACATCTTCTGTGACAACGAGAACGGGCCCAACTTCCTCTTCCACAACCGGGGTGACGGCACGTTTGTGGACGCAGCAGCCAGCGCTGGTGAGTGGTGCCCCCGCCCGGACCGCACACATGGAGGTCGCACTGCGGGCACGGGAACGACCAGTCCGCACACAGGGAGGCCGCATTGCTGTCGCGGGGACCGCGGGACCCACACACAGGGAGGCCGCACTGCGGGCGCAGGGACGGCAGACCGGTGGTCTCTGCCCGCTTAGAGAAACGGTGCTCATCACCTCCAACTGCTCACCCCAGTGCCCTGGCTGCCCGGAGGGGGTCTGGAACTCCTGACTACCGTCAGTTCCAGCAGCATG